GCGTCACCATAGCACCATTTTGGATAGAATATCAACTGAACGTAAAAAGACAATATTAAACATATTATCTTACTTTTCGGACACACTTTGGGAGCTGACACTTGAAACAGACAGTGGAGGAGGTTTAGACGCTCCAAGCTTATAGGTTGTGGAAATGAATGCGTCTTTATCATAGCTGAAGGGAACGACAATACGATTGCAGATGAACAAACAAGTGAACATGGCACACGAGCATATTCAAGCAAAAGCCAGCATATATTAGTTCTGTGAAACAAAGCAAAACCAATTTTACTCACCTAGCGAGAAGAAACAAAGCAACCTCGGCGTCTGATCGCAGGCCTTCCCGCTCCTTGAGTTCTCTCCAGCGCTGGAAAGCTGATCCGAAGTTTACACAGGTTCTATACGTCTTGCCTTATCGTAAGCCTTCTTTTGTTCCGCAGACGTTTTCCTCTTTTGTTTTTAATCCGCCATACAAGTTTGTTTTGGTACTCGGCCCGACTCAGTTTTCTAAAGTGTTTTTGAAAAAATACATACCCCACCTTTAACGACCCATCAGCCTGCGCCATCTAGAGTTTCATGACAGCATATGTGCTACTTTTTGTGCAAACTGCTATGTTTTATTTATGATTTTTTGATGGGTAGAAATTCAAATGAATCAGCTTTTATTTGAAATGGATGTTTAACATTAAAATGTTCACTTTTGATCAATTTCATGCAAATCTTGCTGACCTCAAACTTTTGAATGGTAGTGTAAATTTAAAAACTTTTTGAAAGTAATGCTCACATGTAGGCTAACATGTATTTAAGATGTAAGGAAAATGTTTTTCTTTGTACTTTTTTCTTGATGGTTATACCACATGACTTTTTAGAGTCATTAAACTTTTGTTGAAAGCAAGATGAAATCAAGATGAATACAAAGAGTACATTTCTAAGAATGTATCACATGCATTTTAAACTAGCTAGATTTTGAAAGGATTTTTCCTGTTCTCTATCATGGACACTCTTATATGTCAATGACCCTAAAAGTGAGGCTTAAATGTCAGTAAACATTTATTCCCTCCCATCATCTCAGTGTGTCACTTTCTTTTCAGTGGAAGACAGAGGACAGAGAGTAGCGGCACACTGGATCTCTCACAGAACAGCACAGCAAGAGGCTGAAACAGCATTTAAGGTAAGACTATAGATAACAATAAAAATAAAAAAATGAAATATTCACCACATAAATATTTTTGTATATGACATTAAATATTCATCAGTTTTATTCATGCAAACTGTCAGGACACTCCACACTAGGGTGACATTTAGTTAGATGATATACTAAAGACACATTGTACACTGTTGTCTCGGTCTCAGCAGTAAGTTGTTAGATTTCTAAACAATGTGGTATGCTGTGCAATAATGGATGTTTGTGGATTTCAGCATTGTGGTAAAATTTTTTTGTGTAATGTAATCTACAACACAGTGTTTTTTTCTTTATGAAGATGGTCAAGCCAATGTCATACAAGCCAGTCCATTGGGTACTTAGAAGGATTGAGTTGTTGCCTCTTGCATCTGGCAGTGGAAGCATTACTGCCAGAAAGCAGCTCCTGATAAGCACCCTAGGGTTCTGGTTCTTGTTATCTGAGTTATTAAAGCTTGTAGAGAAACTCCGTTGGTGTGTATTTTAGACTCTTCCATTATGAGGAAGGCCTGGAATTCAGACAGACTCTGAATTCCAGACCTCCACTCCAGACCCCGTTCCGTGTTTTGCGTTTGGTCGCTGCAGGTGTTCTAACATTCAGAGTTTCTAACAAGCAACTAAAAAGCTTTTCCTTCATGTTCTCTTGGAGGAGCTTGATGATTATGTGCAGTCTAGGAGACCGCCTGCCTTCTGAAGGATTTAAAAGAGGCTCCTCTTTTGTTTAAGTCAATGACAACAATGTAGTGGGGTTTCAGGCAACTGCTCTAATCATGGCTACTTCTGTGTCCAGTTGTCGCATGATGACCATTCATTGGTAACAAATGTAAAGTGTGACCGAACAATAAAGAATCAAAACACGTTCAAACAATATCTAGGGCATGTTGTAGTCCAGATTAAAATGTAAAAAAAGTTTGAAAATAAATAGCCTATTATATATAGGCTATATATTATATATAGCCTAAATATTATAGTCTAAATATTTAAGTATTTGGTGCTGTGATGAACATCATAGCAAATACACAAAAATTCTGAATAATTTGTTATATATAATTATTCACGGTATTTAGATGTGCCCACTATAACAATATCGTGCATATTCATTACCGTGATATATCGCATTACCGAATACCGGCACAAGTCTATTCTGGAGTGTAGCTTGGAGTAATATTCTACCCATTTCTCCATCTTTTTACTAATCTCTTCACCATCTGGATGGTTTTTAAAAAACATATGAATATTATATACCATATATATCAGCCACCCACTCTCCAGTTGTCTATATTAGCCACTGAAAACCTCATATAAATATTACATAACATATAAATAATCCATAAAGTTCAATAGTTTGACCTGACCATTCCCATTGGCTGATTTAAAGTCCCAGCTCTCTCTACTAAAATGTTCTACTCTAATAGCTAATATATAGATCATATATATATAATAACTAAAAACACATCTGTTCCACCTTTATTTGACCCTCTAACTCTTAACACTTTCTATTCTATTTTAATTCTACTTTATATTTAACTTCTTTTTTTATTTTTTATATTTATTGTAAAAAACAACAAAAAACAAACAAACACTAGCTTTCTATTTTTTCTATTCTATCTACTTGTTTTTCTTTGTGTGTGTGTGTGTGTGTGTATAATATATA